GGGGGGGGGGGGGGGGGGGGGGGGGGGGGGGGGGGAAGTTACATAAGGTACATTTCCTTTGTGCCAGGTGGTAGGTAGGCAAGCTGTGAGCTTCGCTGTCCTGAACATCACCTAAGTCTCTCTCCTGCCTCTGCCACTGCCACAAACACTTCCAGAAGTAAAGGATCAAAAGTAAAGAGTATAATTTTCTCCTGATCACAATACCAAGCAGTTTTCAGATTAGAGGGTTTATGCATCAATTTCTTTGAATGCCTTTAAAAGCAGCATGATACAATCTGCCCAGAAGAGAGCAGCATTGATACCCTGTGAAGGACAACCAAGGTATTATCTATTGCTAGACAGTAGGCTGGTTTGTATTATCAGGCACAATATGGGGATCCAATTCTTGCACTGAAATGTAGGAATTATTTCTATTAATCAATTAACATTCTAAGTAGCTTCCTTAACAGTAGTTACGTGAAGATTCTTAATATGAGCCTTTGTGTGAAATGCATAAATCTGAGTGAACCACACAGTTTTTATGCTTGTGTTAGAGCAACAGAAACTGTATACAACATTTAAGGCTTGCTGACAGTGAAAATGCGCTGTGGTATACACAAGGCTACCCTTGATGCACTGCAGATGTACCCTTAATTAATTGCAGAAACAATCTGCTGTTTGCAGTGAACTTTTGACGGATCCATTTAAAAAGGAATATGCACCAAAGAGCCTGGCCTTGTCAGGTGAAGTATAACCCTGTTACCAACAAGTCTATGGCTTCAGGATTTGGGGGAGAAGGGGGTATTCTGCCTGCCTGAGGCTTCCTTCTTTTCCATGGGACACCATCGCCTCCTTCTATTAACAGCTCTGCCAAGGATTTCCTATGCGACTTTGACCAAGTCACTGGGGCAGAGCTGTTTGCAGAGCGTGCCTCTGCCTACATCCGCCAAGGCAACGCTGGCGGGATGTCAAAGCACAGGCTTGGCACAGGCACCAGCCGCCCTTCTCGGGCTGGTGTGTAATCAGGTTCCAGTCCTGCCAGTACCCAAGCGTGTTCGTGACGCCGCACAGTAATTCGAGCAGGACAACCCTCCTGCAGGAGAAGCCCTACGCCTGCAGAAGAAAAAAAAAAAAAAAACAAAAAAAAAAAAGTTTTGCTGAACAATCACAAACTTTACGGCCCTGTGATGGCAGTTAAACCAAGTATGAATCTTTGTATTTTTTTCCTGCTGTTGGAGCCGAACTACTTCCACATTTCTGTGTGGGTGATTGTCTTTGATCCCACAGAGAGGAGGTAGCTTTCTCGAGGAGTGTGCTGGGAGGGAACAACTGTTGATCTCCCTTGTGAAATCCCATCTGTTGTCTTCAGCAACTTCTACTTGCTGGCTGAACGAGATAATGTTTCTCCGGCAGTAGCTGTAATTTTCCAAGTGCTTTGCTGGGTGCAAAGTCAGAACTTGATTCAAAAAGGACAAGCAGGGATATAATTTCACTCTCTCCCTTCTGTTACGTAGTGTGTTACGAATTAAGCTGCTGGCAGGCAGGTAGGGCAGAGTCCGTGTGGGTTTTGGGGTTTGTTCCACACCTCTGAAGACAAAGAACAGTGTGATAATGTTAGAGGTAGGTTCTGGAAACGGGGATGCCTTTTGGGGTATCATTTCGGGTATTATTACTCCACGTTTTTGGCATCCTGCCATTTATTATTTAAATGATTTTTAAATTACCGTGTTTATGGTGGAAAATAAGTCAGTGGAAGCTAAAGTTGGTAATATTTCAGTGTAACCAAGCACCGGCTTTCAGGAATAATTTGGGGAAATCAAATGGAAGAGTAAGAGGGTTTTTTGGGAAAAAAAAAAAAAAAAGCCTAAGCCAACCAATTGAACTTAAATACTAACACGACCACCTCTTCCTGCTGATTACGGAGAAATTCCTTCGGTTTGACGGGCCTCACCCACAGCCACTCTCACCCTGTGTTAGCGAGACATTTCCCTCGCGCTAAAATACTTGCATTTTCCCCAGGACGTGACAGGAATGTGAAACACACAAATCTAAAACGGTACCAGAATCAGATCAGCATCTCCCTGCTGCCGAGGTGCCCGGACCCCCGCCCGGCGGAGCGGCGGCCGCGCAGGTGAGGT